AAGGACGCTTACCCCGTCCCACGAATCGATGACACCCTTGACGCACTAGCGGGGGCAAGATGGTTTTCAACCCTAGATCTTGCTTCCGGCTATTGGCAAGTCGAACTTGATGAAGAGGCTCAGACGAAGTCTGCCTTTGTTGTGCGCGGGGGATTGTACAGCTGGAGGGTTATGCCCTTCGGTCTGTGCAATGCCCCCGCCACATTCGAGAGGCTCATGGAGAGGATAATGCGTGGCCTCCAGTGGGAAACCTTGCTCGTCTATTTAGACGATGTTATTGTGTATGGACGAACCATCATGGAGGAAATCAACCGTTTGAGGGAGGTTCTGCAGAGGTTACGTGGGGCTGGACTTAAATTAAAGCCAGGGAAATGCCACCTCTTCCGACAGCAGGTTAAGTATCTGGGACATGTAGTGTCCCCGGAGGGAGTATCTACCGATCCAGACAAGCTGGAGGCGATAAGATCTTGGCCAACTCCGACTGACGTCCGAGGACTGAGGAGTTTTCTTGGGTTGGCCTCGTATTATAGAAGATTCATCAGAGGTTTTGCTGATGTGGCTCGCCCGCTCCATAGGCTAACTGAGAAAGCACGTGTCTTCCACTGGAGTGACGAATGCCAGGAGGCGTTCCAAACCTTGAAGACTCACCTGCAAGAGGCGCCAATACTGGCATACCCAGAACCCGAGGGCAAGTTCATATTGGATACAGATGCTAGCGGAGTCGGCATCGGAGCTGTTTTGTCGCAAGTGCAAAATGGAGAGGAGCGTGTTATTGCCTACGCGAGCCGTACACTCTCCAAGCCCGAGAGGAATTATTGCGTGACGCGCAGAGAGCTCCTTGCAATTATTGTCTATCTTAAACACTTCAAGCAGTACCTATACGGACAAGAGATAACTGTACGAACGGACCATGCGGCATTAAAGTGGTTAGTCACTTTTAAGAACCCAGAGGGGCAGATCGCTCGATGGCTGGAGGTGCTTGGGCAGTACAACTATGAAATAGTTCATCGCCCTGGGAAGAAACATGGAAATGCAGACGGCCTGTCACGTCGACCGTGCAAGCAGTGTGGACGAGTGGACGACGATACTGTAGAGGCACCTATGCCGGCGGATGTGAGAGTGGTTGTTGCCGAGCCAAACGTTACCACAGACGAATTGCGGGAGGGTCAGCTGAAAGACCCCTCCATTGCCTGGGTAGTACTTGGGAAAGAGGAGTCAGGTCAGAGGCCAGATTGGAAGAGCATGTCCTCCCGTGCAACTGCAGTCAAAGTTTATTGGTCGCAATGGGACCAACTAGAGATGAGACAGTCAGTGTTATGTCGGCGATGGGAATCGAACGACGGTAGGGAGGTAAAGTGGCAGATAGTCCTCCCAGTCGGCCTTCGAGAGGCGAAGATGAATGAGTTGCATGGAGGGAAGACCGGAGGACACTTTGGAATCAGTCGCACACTAGCCAAGTTGAGGTTGAGATATTACTGGTCTGGAATGGCGGCGGACGTGAGAGCCTGGTGCAGGAAATGCAATATCTGTGCTAAACGAAAGTCGCCTGCTCGGAAGAGGCGTGCACCACTCAGACAGTACCGAATCGGCGCTCCCATGGAAAGGGTGGCGTTGGATCTCGTCGGCCCAATGCCGGAGACGGAGAGAGGCAACAAATGGGTGCTAGTTATAGCCGACTACTTCACCAAGTGGATGGAGGCTTACGCCCTCCCCGACAGTACAGCCGAGACGGTAGCCAAGGCATTTGTAGAGAATTTCGTTTGCCGATATGGCGTACCAAAGGAATTGCACTCAGATCAGGGTCGCAACTTCGAGGCGGACGTCTTCGCCGAGATGTGTCAAATACTAGGCATTCAGAAAACTCGCACGGTTGCCTACAACCCCAAATCAGATGGATTAGTGGAGCGGTATAACAAGACACTTATCGATACGGTGGCGATGATGCTAGACCCCCATCGTAACCAGAGAGACTGGGACCAGCAACTCCCCTTTGCTACATTCGCATACAGATCGGTACCACAAGAATCAACAGGCGAGACTCCGAACATGCTCATGTTGGGCAGGGAGGTTATGCTGCCGGTGGACCTTACTATAGAAGCGCCTCCTCCTGATGACGAGGCGATGGAACCAAAGACAGACTATGGAGAGGAGTTGCGCAGGAGGATGCAAAAGGCCCACGAGCGAGCCAGAGAACAAACCAAGACTAGTGCTAGACGCCAAAAGTTGTCGTACGACAGACGAGTTGAGGGTGCAGGTTATGAGGAAGGTGACTTCGTCTGGTTGTATAACCATGCAAGGAAGAAAGGGGCCTCCCAGAAGTTAGTTTCAAGATGGGAAGGGCCGTACCTCATCATAAGGAAGCTGTCAGACGTAAACTACAGGGTACAAGACAAACCCAGAGGAAAGCTGCTCGTGGTTCATTTCGATAGACTGAAGCCTTACAAAGGCACTCCTATCGAGTCTTGGCAAACAGAACCTCCGAGACAAGTCACTGAAACTCCGCCTCATGTGGATCAGGAGCGATCGCCTGCAGGGAGGCATCACCAGAGGAGTGACGAGGAAACGATTCCTGACAGAGGTGTAGAGGAGGACACACAAACTGACCCAGTACTTGACATAGGGAGCATTGACGGAGACGGAATTACAGAGACTATGCAGGACACGGAGAATGATCCTGTAAGCCAGAATCGAAGAAACCCACGGAGGGAAAGGAGGCTACCTCTGCGTTTCCGTTAGGCAGTATATAATTCTGTACAAATTCAGTAACTTATCAATTTGTTTTTATTGTTTACTTATTAGGTGACGACGACTGAACACAATGAAGGAGCAGGAAAAGAAAAAGTTCCAATGTGAAGAGTGCTCACTGACGTTTCAGCACAGGACCAGCCTGGCCCGACATAGACAGGTGGGTCATGGCCCGTCTCAGATCTTCGCTTGGTGCGTACGGTGTCCCTTCAAGAGTACGAGGAAGGATAACTTGCGAAGACACTACCGTCAGAATCACGAGGCCCACATCCATGAGGTGGATCTTCTCCCCTTGGAGACTGAGAGAGAGCGGGCGCAGCGGCGACGTTCGGAAGAGGGAGAAAAAGCGGCAAAGGAGACCAGACGGATGGTGGTGAAGAGACCAGAGGGACGGAAGGTGAAGGATCTTGGAGATGCTGAGACGTGGGCAGAGGCGCTACGTATACTCCATCAGGAAGACGACGTCGACGAACAACCACGGGGAGAGAAGCGACCGACTCAAAGTGAGCCAGAGGCACAGGAGGAACCGCCAGCCAAGCGGAAGTCCGCTAAGCAGAGTACAATCACTCAAGGAGGCCCCCTGGATCTCTCGATTGTAGGACCGGAGGCGAGTGGAGGACTGTCTTTGTCACCGGCCTCTTTGTCCTTGCTAGAAGAAGATGTGCCAGCCCCAGTGCGTAAGCCACTTGGTGGTAAGCCTCGGGGGATGCTCCTTATGGCCCAGCAGGACCACGGGGAGAGCAGTGAAGAGGAGGCGGAAGAGTTGCAACAACATGTGCAACAACATGAGGCGGCTGAGGCAGCACCCAACAACGGAGCAGCTGCGCACATCCGAGAGGATCTGCGCCCAATCCACGTGACATCCCTGGAAGAGGTACTGAGGGGCAGGGTTACCCGAGTGAAGGAGGTGTCGACCACCCTCGAGTACAATGAGGGTGTGAAAGTTCGTGAGCAGCGGTTGGAGAGGGTGTACGATGTCCAGTTCGACCAAGATTTCCGCAAGAAGTAACAGCGCATCCGAGAGATCACAGAGCTAGGCAACATGTTTCGTACGGGTTCCTATGAGTTAGGCTCGTTTCTCTAAGCCATCATTTCTTAAGTTTATACAGAGTTTTCTATAACCTTTATATAAGTTTTCTTAAAGTTTCTTAAAAGTTTATAAAGTTTTCTATAAAGTTTTCTCAGAGTTTTATGAAGTTAACTATGTTTCTTTTATGAGGCGCATGTATAAAGAGGCGCCGATGTGTTGAAGTTATGGACCTTTTCGTTGTTTAGATTAAAAGTTTTGATAAAAATTTTTTTTGAGTAATTTGCTTTTGAATATCAGGTCTTTCTTTAGCTGTTATGAACGAGGACGTTCATGCTAAGAAGGAGGCTTTGTGGCGCAAATTACTATAGCAGCGTAGTCTATAGAGAGGGCGCGCTCGCGGCTGTGGGCCCTATATAAGGCCCCGGGGCAGTTGCGAGACAGACTCGGCTCAGGTAGACACAGCTCAGACACACACAGTCACAAATTAGGCTTATCTCAGACACAACCTTCCGAGCGTACGCCGAGATCATCTACGGGGAAGAGACGGTAGGCAAATTAGCTTGCGCGCGCTGACGGGCGTGTGCTGGGTGGTGCGGTGAAGTCGGGCTGGCATAAGGAGGCACGGAGTCCGCGGAGGCTACTGGAGGCGGAGCGACATACAGCGATCTGCCGATTGTAACGTGACGGAGCCGGAAGGGCGCGCTCATCTACCCGCCGCCTCGAGGAAGGCTCGCGACTGGAAACGGTGGAGGGCGGGAGAGTGGAGGCGCACAGGAACGCTAGAGGCGTACGGTTCTTACCCGGGATTCAGAGGCTATCCCCAGCCAGGCATCGCCGTGCTGCCCAGCACTGCCTTACCGTAGCGGCTAATGCGAGGCTACCCCTACAGAGATAATTGAGAGGCTCGGAGACCAATCACTTATTAGAGGCTAACATTATAATTTAACGAGAGGTCCATCCTGTGACATTGATTCTATGTAAATAAATCAATCAGTAATTGAGGTCATTGACTGTTGTGTACTTAATTGTTTGTCCTTGTCCATCTTGGAGGTTGAGGGGCGTGGGTGAGTGCTGCTACGCGTATAGGGCGGTATATTTCCATCCAAACGGGCCTGCATTCCCGGCTGCTGGGGTACTGATCCTAAGCTAGGTTGTCTGGGTAAAGGGACTACGGATCGGGTCACAGATATTCCCGCCACAATATGATGGATGTGACTTGCAATAGACTGAACTTCTGATTCGTTTGTACAGGTTTCTGTGCTTGGCCACGTTACAGTGCCGTCATCCAGCCTTCAAGCATGGTTCAGGTGAGTGTAACTGTTGAATATTTTACTTAGATTGTATATTTGTAATGTAAGGAGCATCGTTTTGTCAGTTGTAAACAAAACCATTGAACTGAATCGAACTAAAATTTCACACAAGAAAGAACAATACACATGTATGCTTGTGATCATCAACAGCTGGTATAACATTGAATATGAGATATTTGATATATTATGAGACATGTTGTGTATCTTTCCAGAGGGAGTTTTGGGGGACACACTTTATTTTTGTGTGTGGAACACCCTTGTGATGGATCCTCATGCATGTCATTCTCTTATCGATTGTTTGTAGAAGCCATGAACCACAAATCAGCATGTTTCCTTCCAGTTTCCAATGAGCACTCTGACAGCATCACTTAGCATGCCAGTATTCAACATTGTGCAGGTGAGACAGATTGTCTGATGTTCTGGATTTTGGCATAATTATTATTATTATTTTTTTTTATGTTTAAATTTTTGTTCTTAAAAATATAAAATGAACTGAATTGTGTTTGGTTTGGATCATCTTCCCGGTGAGAATTTCTACTCTGGGGCTTGTGTGCAGACGCTGATTCCCATGCTATAAGGACTTGGGGCTTTCTGATGTTAATTGTGATCAACATAATGTGTCGCCTCACCTATACTTTTGCGAAGTGCTTAACTCAGCTGGTGATGTGTTACACATCATCTCGCACTTTTGTGAAATAAATTTCATGCAACCAGACTAATATGTCAGACAGGAACGTGCATTGTAGTAAATATTTGTGTGCATTCCAAAGATAAGTATCATTAAAAACAACTGTGCAATTGCATTATGCATCTAGCATGTCTAGGCAAAATTTCTTTGCAATAGCAATTTTCAAGCTAGAAATTTGTGATCATTTCTCTGATTACTGAAAATTTATATATGTACAACTTCGAAATACTTGCCAATTGTGGCATAGGATTTGATGAAGAAGTAATCAATAAATCAATTAATTCTGTGTAGATCATCTCTGTAAAGATGGCTGTGTTGCTTCAGTTGCCACATTTCTACATATGTTCTTCCGGTTAGCAAAGGCACACTGTGACAGCATCCACTTTCTACATGCTAATACATGCACAGTATTGTTCAGGTGAGTAGATATTTAACTGACAATCTGTTGTGATTGTCACATTAAATGTTGCATGATTGCGAATGTAAAAGTCAAAAACTGCCTGAATAAGAATAACGGTTATAAAAGCTTTTACGCAAAAAAATGTATAAATTTATACTTCAGTGTGAAAAAGCTTCCACAAGTAAAATTATCCTGCCAAATGAAAATAGCAATTCTTGGTGTTAAAACACAAGTACATGTAGTCATTAAAGGGAATATACAACGTTTGCTTTTTCTGTAATTTTGTTGTACTGACTTTTTTTAAGTTTTGTGTTCGTAGATGCTGGAAAAACCAAGAAAAACAATAATGACCTTGTAAGCTGGTTCCCTGACCCCACTGAAATTGAATGGTGACAGTCAGGCTAGCTTGTAGCCATTCATGGGTTGTATCATTGATTGCAAAGAAAATGTGGACTGACTAAATACGGTAAATTTGGGACAGTATGTGAAAAGAGTCAGATTTTCCAAAGGCTGGTCGGTCAATTAGTGTTGGAAATTGTACAGAAATACCACTTATCTTAAAAATGATGGCACACAAGGTAACATGATTTTATAGGATGCTTTAGACTGTCATTTACCAACAGTCCAGTAAGGTATTACATAATAATTTGGTAGTTTTGTTTTGTGATGTATGCAAATGTTGTATTTTCCTGATTTTTAAAAAGGTTATAATGTTTGTACTTTGGACAACGATTGCACTTGGCATGTGGAGTCTGACATAAAAAGGACCTGAATACATTTCTAGAAATAATATTTACACTTTCAGTAAAATGCAACTTGAAGTGATCGTGTCCAATAGTTGCTGAGCAGTTTGCAAAGATTTGTTGTGCCAAAAATTTACCATGCATAATTTGTGTAGAGTGCTGTTTATGATCAAGCATTTCATGTTTTGTTTTATTCAGGGAAAGACATATGAAAACCTATCAGCTTCCGAAGTCGGCAACATCCTGCTGTCACTACAGTCTCAGCACCTACCAGCTCCCACTCTGTCAGCAACATCCTGCTGTCACATGTCCAGCTACCGGTACTTGAAGTTACTGTGTGCTTGTACATTCTCAGCACCTACTAGCTCTCACTCTGTCAGCAACATCCTGCTGTCACATGTCCAGCTATTGGTACTCGGAGTTACTATTTGCTTGTACTTTCTCAGCACCTACCAGCTCCCACTCTGTCAGCAACATCCTGTCCAGCTACCGGCACTTGGAGTTATAGTGTGCTTGTACATTCTCATCAGCACCTACTAGCTCCCACTCTGTCAACAACATCCTGCTGTCACACCTCCAGATATGTGGAGTTATTGTGCTTTTACAGTCTCAGCCAGTATTGGATTGCAAGTTGTCTTATGCTGCTACAACCTACACATTTAGCATTCTCTTGAACCTTGAGGAACCACCATATGAACAAAGAGACAGTCTCTGAAACACTCATAATAAACCTGTCACGGTGGTTTGTTGAACATTAGTATTATTTGGAGGACTTGCAATTAGCTCATATAGTCAACTAGCTATTCCAGTCCTCTGGAAGAGTTTTTGCTTGAGGTTATTCTATACTAGTAGCAAGCCTTTTTTCGTGCACGGTCAAGAGTAGATCGAGAAAGCAGTTGTTTTTAAGGGCAAAACAATTGTTCTTGTTCCTTGAAAAAGTTGGTCAAAACATTTTCCCAACCATTTTTTTATTTAAACAGTAAGATAAAGGGGCAACGAGGACTGTTTAATGCCATTTCTACATGGTAGAAAAACAATTCAATGCTAATTTTTATCCAAGATATTCAAAGTTTTGGTGTTATTGGCAAAGAGAGTACCCGCAAGAGTGGTTGTGACATGTACATGCAAAACTGTTTGCAATGATTATGCTATTATTATGATAAAAATGGTGCAAAGTACGGCGTTAAAATGGGCTCTCTCCTTGTACATAGCACAATACATAAGTGATTGTGATCATAAATGTATTGAATTACATAAAATACAATTGTGGATAAATATTTGGTAATTTGGGGGAGGGGGTGAGTGTAGGGGGGGGGGGGGAAGCATATTAATGCCGGTGCATACCTTGTCTGATTGCTATGAAAATGTGATATTATCAAGCATTGGCTGATTCATGTTCGCACCAATTATGCCAGTGTCATGGTCTCACTTATCAGGTGTGTGCACTTCTCCAAAAGGGACATTTAACTTCAATACGCACGTGCAAAATTGTGCTGCGGCTGTACATTATCGCCAACCTTATTGCGTGTGCTCACTGCACTGTGTTTGTGAAGAAGTGAGCGCATTCTAAGTAAGACTGTGACACTGGCTAAGCTGTGAATTGCTACCGAGATAATTGCCTACTTTTGCGTCATTTCGTCTATGTTAATTTAAGTATTTGTTTACAATATCATTTATAGATTAAACTCATTAAAGAGACACTGCAGCCTGGCAAATGCGCAATTGGGCTACAAAATGCATTTTGAGTCGAATGGTGTAAAGTGCTTGGGATATAAACAACTACACAAACATCCATTGAAAATCACCTGGGGGGGGGCACTTTTGCAACCCCCAAACTATGTGTGTTCAGTGCTGGTTGAGATTCCAGCTGTAAACGTTTCACCCTCTGCGCACATCAACCGGATGTTTCAAGCAGGATATCGTAAACAATGCAAAACATGACATTTTCAAGGATTTCAGGGAACAATAATTTATGGAATTTTGAGGAAACATTTTTGCTATTTTGTTTGGTAGAATACTATTGTTTTATATTAAAGAAAATGCTTTCATACAAATAAAAAAATTATACAAATAAAAATGTGTTGTGTTTTTTAATCACAGATAGGATATGGTTATATCACATTTTAACCCATTAAAGTCCATCGCCATTTTATAATCTGCGTTGTTTCATAAAAAAAAAAAAATTGTGTATGATGTTTCATAGCATCTTTTAAAATTCGTCATTTAACCCCAAAAAAATTGAAAAGAAAATGAAAAATGATGAAATACGCTTTAATTTGATGTGTGTCTTGAACACGTTGGAGAGTGAGTATTTTCCCGAATTTCTGAAGTGTGAGCATTTACCATTGGGGTCTATAAAAGTTTATTTACTGGTCTGCTAACTTTAAGCCACGTAAGTTTTGCGCACCGCGTAAACAACGTTCGTCTTACTCTATTGTTAGGTTTAAGGACTCGTTCAGTTTGAGAATACACTGTTCTAGTTTTCGGACCCAAAACCTCCAGCCAAACACGACGCAAATAAAAAAAACGGCGGTGATATCTGCATGTACAGCTTCATGTATGTATTACGCAGACAATTTATTCAGCCACAAGAGGGCGTCCTTACATTTCACAATGCAGGTTCTTTAAAGATTCTCATTTTCAAGTTAAGCACACCTCGGTTTAACCACAGGCTGTGGTTTCATTGTATGGAAATCATTTTGAAGTTTAAGGTGTATTTCATTGGAAAACAATGCTGAAAGTTCAAAAATCAAAAAAAAAAAAAAAAAAATTACATTCAATGAATTTCAGATTATAAGGAAGCATGAACATAAAATCTGTCAAAGTTAGCCGAAAATCGGCTAAAACGGTCACTGTGGACAGGATTAGACCTCGGCAACACGTGCGCTGCATGCAGCCGGGCTGACTTACATACGATGTATGTGCGTACATATATGTACAACGTACGTGCATGTCATATACACATCGTGAAAGTCCTGTGCATGTTTTAAAGCTCTCTACCGCAACTTGCGCAAGGGTATTTTTAGCCGACGTCGCGTCAACTGTGTGAACAATTTGACAAGCTGGGAACCTGGCACTGTTGAGGCAAATGTTTACCCTATCATTTAATAGGAAATTCAAGATTATATCTGTACGGATTGACTTGTTAGCAATTTTTGAAAAAGGAAAGTTCTTTTCAACGGAACTTCCGGTCTGATGACGTCATACGCCTAAAACTTTGCACACGTCATGAGTGGGTAAATATCATCATATACACCAATTTTTAGGCGATTCCAGCAACTTTCGCCACAGACATCTATTCAAAATACATTTTTGAAAATGTTCAACCTGTCGCTAGAGGACGATCAAAGATTGCATGACGTCATATGTAGATGATTTGAAGAATACGCTCAGCCAAGAGACCAACACCGTTAAAAGCAAGTTCATATCTATTACCACTTTTAAATAATTAGCCACTTCCGGTTTTGGCCTTTTTCGACAGGAAGCAAGGGTCACGTGATTTCACGCACACTAAATGAAATAAAGACCTCAACCTACTCTACCACCTGCCGGCAACAGAATGCTGCGGACGCATACGGTTGATTTCTTATGTATTTTTAAATATTAAAAGTGTCACAATTTAATTGCCCATTAATAAACACCGGATGACGTCATCATGACGTCATCATTACACAATGTTGTTTGAGTTAGGGTCTTTCCTTGGACAAAGATTGGTGTAAATGAATTACTGGCAAAGAGTCGAAAATGCCCTTTGAAAATCGACAATTTCTTTTTAATTTCTGTGTACAAAGTCTATGGTAAAAATTAAATATTCAAAAATCTACAATAAATTAGTCGATGACGTCACCATGACGTCAATCTTCGGGACACATCTTTGCTATAGGGACTATGCTTATGCTAAGTTTGAATGATGTATGGCAAAAATTAATGCCAAAAGTGGCACTGAGGAAAAACGTGCACAAAGTCAATGTCATTTGAAGTGGAACAAGAAGAAAGGCTTTTCCGCAACTTTGTGGAAAAGCCCCCCCAATAAATGAGAACAAAAACAAAGGCTTTTTCGCAAATTTGCGAAAAAGCCAAAAATCTTAACGAAAACAAGAGCTGTTTCGGTGTATACACCGAAACAGCTAAAAACTTAAGAAAAGGTACAGCAAGGTTTTGATTTTCTCAGATGGCCGGCAGTGGTGTAGTGAGATCCAATGCTCGACTCTTCACCGGTGCTCTTTTCAGTGTCTCAGGAAGGTCGTATCCTCTCAAAAATAAAGATGGGTGAAGTTCATCAGGATATGGCTGGCCGTATTTAAAGTGGTTGCTGCAGACTGTAGTCGATGATTTTACTTTGAAATCCTGCCGTTGGGTCAGTTGAGTCCAGAGAGGGAAGTGTTTCTTATCCCTGCATGAGTGGAATCTGAGTGTGTTTACATGCTCTTTGATGACATCTATCAAGAGAAGGGGAAACGTAAGATAGAGATATTTATTGTTTGATGACGGAGAAAAATAAACCACATAAGACTTCGCAATTATTTTTATGAGTAAAACAATGGAGTAGGCTAGCTAGCTAAGCCTACTACAGTACTAGCTGACTAGGACAAATATGTACATGTGTACATGTTTATTTTTTTCACATTTTCGTGAACAGAATATAAATAAACAATCATGAAATTGTCTGTAAAAGTCAAACATCGTTCGCTGACAGAAGTAACAATTAAACCATTATAAAAGCCACATATTTGTCCGATAAGAAAAGAGTCATAAAAGGGAGCTTTTGAGGGGCACAGAAACTTCAATGCATTGGCCGACACAGTCATGACAGTGCAGAGTGTCCCGTGTTTCCCCGCTCGCGTGCCGGTCATCGGCACATCGCGATTGCGTCGGGTCGGAACTGTGCGCTACTACTTTTTGTCGCGAGAACATTTTTTTTTCTGTACATCAAAGTAAAGTAAAAATTCAAAGTAAAAATTTCGCTGCTCATATTGCTCATGAGTAGATGAGCAATGACTCACGAGTAAATGAGCAATGAAACTGAGTAGATGAGCAGTGACTCATGAGTAGATGAGCAGTGACTCACGAGTAAATGAGCAATGAATTGAGCAGATGAGCAATGGAAATGAGAAGATGAGCAGAAAGCAGTTACTCACGAGTAAATGAGCAATGAATCGAGCAGATGAGCAGTGACTCATAAGTAGTTATTTATATTAAACGTTTTTATCCGTTTCTTACCATTCGGAGCTTAACCTTCAAAACTGCAACATGAATGTTATTTCTGCAGTCAAACCTTATGCTTGTCACATGTGTGACAAAAGCTTCGGACGGAGATATAACCTACAGAGGCATGCAGAAAATGTACATGCTGTAGATGATTCTGAAACAGATGAAGTTGAGGAGGATCATTCTGAACCTGATTGGCAAAGCCGTAGATTTGAAGATCCTAATTTGGAAAACTATGAAACTGAATTACGTATGATGAAGACGAAGATCTTGAGGACGATGATTCGGAATCCGAAACGGAGGTGGAAGATGACGAATTATCTGATGAAGACGAGTCTAGTTCTGATTTGGAAGACAACACCGCATATCGAGACTGGTTGAAAGAGTCCATAGAAGCCACCCAGGAGATGTGGAGTGACAAAATTTAATATGAAAAGTACATTAACGAGGATATGAGTAAAGATCGGGCCAAGGAAAAGGCCAACAGGAAGACCATGTGGGCAGTCGAGCGAATCTTTCTCAACAAATACAAGTATTTTTTGTTAAGTTACCTATATCTGAAAGACAGTGGCACTCATCAAGAAATTGTGGAAGATATCGAACGAAAATTGATTACGGGCATGAAATTGAACACTGCTCTGAACAGAATTATGCCTAGATACCGTAACACTTTTGACGGATTGTTCCAACAAGATGAGGATGAAGAAAACGATGAAGACAGTGATGATTAAAGACTAGTAGTTTCAAAAAGATTACTCATTTTTAAAAATAATCTCACAGTGTCTTATAGGAAAAAAATAGTATTTGAAATAGTCTCCCCTTATCACTCTTATACAGTAATTCCTTATGGCTTAGAAGAAGAGCATGCCCATGCATGAAGATTTAAACTTGTGTCCACTGGGTTCTATATACGATGTGGCTTTAAATAGACAGTGTATTGTAAACCGGTATATGTCAGGTACAAAAGACAATATTATTAGAAACAGGTCTGAAATTATAAAATGGGCAGTTTATGATGACTGCATAATATTAGTGCACGTATATAAAGTTATATGCATGATAATGATAAATAAATTCTCAAATAATCCTTGAAAATCATCAGTGTGAAATGTTTTCCTTTTATTTATCTTAATACCCATTCCTTATTATTTGCTTTATTTGTTGACTACCTGGCCCCATACGTCATCCCTCATCAACAGTACAATGCTCCACGTGCACTAAACTGACCAGCAAATAAGTGCAATGACATCATAATTATGCGATGGCCCCCGAATCCATTCATGGCTTGGATATGTTCACAATGCAGGTTGTTATTGAAGCGATTATATAACGGTGACGATAATCCTTTTATCTGATTCCCATGACTGAGTCGTCAACTCAGTGGTCAGATTCTTCATAATTCAATACTCTGCTTATAAAATTGTTCCTCGGTACCGCTAAATCTCAAGCTCAGCATCGACGCACAGCGAGGCATATACATGTGATTGTATCTAACGTTCTCTTAGCAATGCGGCCACAAACAACGATTCCATACGGGGAGATTTTAAAAACACCGCGGACAATGCACATGACCGGACTTGTCCGGTTGTTTGTCATCATTCGATGAGTCAGCACTATGACGTCACTGGATTCCCCCATTCGAGTACAAAGGCTATTATGATAGAGTGGAAACAGGCACGAGTATGATATGCGGCTTGAAAAATCCCTTCAATTCAGATGTATATAGGGCTTTTTACTGTACTATACGTAAATTTATGTTATGTATTTGTCCCTATGTACATCGTATTGTTTTCACTGCTGTGATACGTAAAATATTTGATACCGTAATAATGGTACGCGCCTTTATTATTTTAATTTACGCAAGCCCCTCCGCCCGTCACACTCCCCCGTGGTGAATGGTAGATTCCCGTTGCTCATTTTATGCTAATGAGGGTCACGTGGGGCCAAATCCGGACTTATGATTGGTCGAGAGCCCGTCAAAAATGGGTGAAATATCCTGGTTAGACGGGCTTCACTACTGATGTCACCTGGGCGGTGTCATTTTTACTTCCCGGATGCGCAGCACAATCGGCCAATGATGTGGTCCAATTTGATCATGAACATTTATAAGGTGTAGTGATACATATTATGATTTGTGCCTGACAAAAAGTTGCCAGTCAAGTTGATCAAAAGTCAAACAGTCTGAATGTTATGGTCTGGAATACTTACAATTCAAATAATGTGGATTAGCAAGACACTGGACGAACTCAAGCTCCACTTGGAATCTGGGTTTTTTTCGGCATCTAGGCCCTCTAGTTTAAACAAAAAAGACAGAAGTTTTTTGTTAGTTTAGTAGTTCACAATGACATCATGGGGGATGTCTTGGATGTCTACACGCCCATGCCTAGGAACTGTTGACACCACCTAATAATGTAGTGCACTTGGATTGTTTACAAGCAGCACCTTGCTTGAGCAAAATTGTTTCCCAAATTCCATGGAAATGAAATTTCTGCAAGTTTGAAATATCCCTGTTCCTAATTCTAGCTTCTGCTGACAATTATCAAATATTCTTTTTAAATCATTGTGAACCATTTTAGGTTCATGACATGGGGAGGCTCCAGTGTTCGACCGTGAGTGCTCAATTTTACTCACTCACTCTTAAGCCAGCAAAATTCTCCAAAGTTTTTGATGTGGCCAAAAAAAGGTCCTCAGTATTTCACCAACCCAGTTGGAAGACTCAAGTCAATTTTTAAAGGAGACTTTTCTTCAATATTTTTCACAATCTATTTTCTTGAATTGCATGTTTTGAATACCTTAAGTTTGGGGCTCTCATACACCACTATTGGGAGTTCCAAATTTTCGGACTAGGGAGGATGAGCCTAGTAAGCTGGAAATTTCAAGCCAACTTGTTAGTCCTGTTACTTACTTAAACCCTAAAGATTCACGCATAAAGCAAAATTTAGAGAAAAGGAGTAGGGAAAAGAGTTCCATACCTGGACATCACTTGACACCCTGTGCACAAACCCTACTAGTATGATACTGGTCTGAAAACAATTCTAAGGTTTACTCAGTAAATCAAATGCTTCAATATTTTCCCTGCTAAATTTGACTTTTTAGGACATGTTTATCGCTTTCTGATGGCTGATAGGTGGGCTGGAGTAATCGTATCTTTAGGACTTCGTTCCTATATACAGCTAACTAAATGACACTCAAAAGTGACATTTTGATATTTCTTGACACATATGAACAGCTGGTAATGACACCTTCTTGAATATTGACAGGTTTAATTTCGTGTGAAGAGGGCAGGACTTTGATTTTTGAGGGAAATTATGGGGGAAAAGACAACGACAACAACCAGAAAACAGGCTCAAGATGGCAACTTTGAAAGCTAGATGCAATAACAGCTAGACGCAATTCGGGCGATTCACAATGCAGTGCACCACCAAGAGTTTGCCACGGAGAGTTCGTTTTTCAAGTTTACGGTCGACAAAACATGGCCCATTTGAACGAGTGTCAGTAGAAACTTGAGCTAATTTGTTAAAGATTGGGGCAAAGCATTCTGCCGCCTTACAAAAAACTCCACATTGATAAAACAAAAAGAAAAAGGCAAACAGATACTTGAATCATATGCTTATGAACTTTCTGGCCTGAAAAACTAACAATTTCAAATGTCCCGCATTGCGCATTTGTCGACCATCTCCCACAATGCACTAGGAAAAAATATTTCTCCATGGCAAACTCTTGGTGGCGCACTGCATTGTGAATCGCCCGAATTAAAAGCTCGATGCTGATTGGATGATAACAAAATCTAGGTTTTTCTATCAGCCAATCAGCATCAGGCTTTCATTGTGTCAGGCTTTCATGCGTACTGGGAGAACTACAACGTGCAGGTCTCACGTCTCTGACGGCAAAAAGAGGTAGGAAAGTCACATTTTCCTTTGAAAAGACATTTCAAATTACAACAAACATGAGCTAATCTGAAGAAAAAAACTGCTTTTAATTAGCAATCACACCCAGGCTACACTGCGGCGGCACAAGTGATTTAACAGATAATCATATTGACCAGTGATTGTGCGTACAATAGCCTGGTCTGCTCCACGCGAAAACACGCTGCGCTTTATCGGTCAGCGGCAAAGTGCGACATTCTCGTCAAGCACTACACTTTTAACTTTCGAAGATAACGAAGGAAATACTTTTGATTCTCGATATGGAAAGATTCCCATAATGGAAAGATTTCCATATACGAAGTTCACTCAACACTCTGTGTACAAACCCTATGAGAGTGGACTGAAAAATTGTAAGTGTTTTCTAAGAAAATGCTTGTATTTTCTCACTGCTCAAATTGACTTTGATGACATGAAATTGCTATCTGGGGGCTTGTTAGTTAATACAGAGGAAAATTAGTGAACTTCGCATATGGTAATCTTGCCCCAATAATTTCCAGATTCATTTGCACACGTTTGCGTATCAAAAATTTCAACATAAAATTTCACAAAAATTAGACATCTGAAAAAGGCAGCACTTTTAGATTAGCTTATAAAGAGGGTGAGTATGTTCTAAAGCAAAAAAAACCTACAAACTAAGCCTAAATGTGAAAATCAAAATTTGAAAAAGTTCGACACGCTTTTGTACATGTGGAAGTGTGGCCTTTGTTTACGGAGGTTAATTGGCCACATTTAGGCCTATGGGGCTAGCCCGTGGTGAGCGTTCGCGTAATACGCGAAGCATTTTGCCCACAGACACAATAGCAAATGTTGTTACAACTCGACTCGGGACAAGTCGACCGTTGAGACAGCTTGACTTAATGGAAATGTATACACGTGGAGCGGAAAAAGTTGCATGGCAGGACCAATCCCGGGTGCGGCACGGGCATATACTCGATGCACAGAGGGCGCTCCAATCCGGTGGCCGTCGCGTCGGGCCGGCGCGCCCTGTCCGCGAGGACCGGGCCCGGCCCAGCACGCAGGTACGGCAAGTGGGCCCACAGGCCCAGCACAAACGATGTCACCGTGCACGGTACGGCCACGTTGACCGACTGGGGATGAGATAAGTGGGCGCACAGGGCTGGCAAAAACGATGTCACCGACTCACCTTGCATGGTAGGCCTACGGACAAGTTGACCGGCAAATGGGCGCACAGGCCCGGCAAAAACGATGCCACCATGCACAGTACGGCCACGTTGACCGGGGTTGCGCGCACAGGCCCGGAAAAAACGAACGATGTGCACGGACAACATTATATCAGCTTTGTTATATGCAACCAAAAAAAAACACGTTTGTGTCATCACTCCCAAACGGCGATCAGCCACCGTCAAAATCCCCGGTACTATCCCCAAAACTAGGCCCCAAAACATGCAAGGCGACTTGTCTCAACGTTCGACTTGTCTTTCCATTTATCGCACATAATGGTCGAGTTGTCTCAACGGTCGAGTTGTCTCAACGGTCGACTTGTCCCGAGTCGAGTTGTCTCAACGGTCGACTTGTCTGACCCCTGAATGGAGTGGCCCTGTATTGTTGTGCCGGCAAGGTGCCGAGTTGGCAAGGTGCAGAAGTGATCGGTTTAATACCGACTCAACCTCGTCCCCAGTGTTTACTTTATTTCCAACGTTGTTTCAATAGTAAACCCTGTATAGGAACCTTCCTTCCTGCATCCTGATTCGATACCGCAATTGGCTAGAAATGGATTTATATCGTGTACTTGGTGTTGTTATTCACAACGTGCAGGACGTGTTTTCGCGATCATTCGTCCACGCCTTCTCGAAAATATTCCTTTCCTTTCCAGTTTGTTAATATTAATGTGGCGATTCATAATAATTTGAAAATCATCAAAACGTATTTTGTCACCCCGTGCTTAGGCACGCCATACGTTTTGGATGCAAATGTATACATTGCGTGGCAAATGTATACATTGTGGCCTATATGACACAGCGCACAAAAGCCAGTGCATGCTGCAGATGCAGGGAGATCACGCTGTTTTGGCGTACTATTATTGAAGTGCAAGACGATAACTTTTCTTTTGGCTGAGCCTGGCATAGCCAGACATACCTAGTCTGCGACGTGTAGACCAGTTCGAGGGCTTTCTCTCCAAGCTGTGAGCTGTGCTGTTTTGTGTATCCTTAAATAACGGAAGCCAAAGGCACTGGGGTAGGTTTATCTGTATAATTTATTATTTAATAATATTTATAAATCAGACCGATTACTTTGTTAGAAACTTAATTGTCACCTCACTTATTGTAATTTTTCAGGGTTTTTACTTCTACTGAAAGAAGTCTTGTCTTCTTCGGGATAATAAAGCTAGATAAGAGATAGATCTGAAGCTTGTCATTTGTCATGTCATCTGTTGAATAAAACAACGGCGAGGCCTGCCGACGAGGCGACCCTTGATATGTGGCTTTCCAGCTATTACAGAATGGCGACAAGGATGGGATGACATGCCGTTTTCCACTTCCAGACAAGACCCCTAGTGTCAAATTTAGTTCGAACTTATCATTATAGGGCTGTATCAAAGATGTGTTTATTATAAAAAATTGTTTTAAGAGTTTAAACAAACTTGCGATTATTTGAAGAAGCTTTAAGCTTTGTTCAAGTTTCAATTTCAGCCCGTCGTGCAAGTTGGCACATGGTTTGGAGCTACATGTAGAATATTAGGTCGTGTAATTTGTGTTTTTTGGTCCCATTGATATTTTATTTACACGATTCACGTCGGTATTTATGGAAAATTAATGATACACTGTAGTGATTGACTGGCGATTGTACATGTTTTTGTACACAATGAAGATGCCACACATGTGTTAGTCTTTTTAAATTATTGCACTGTTCTGTGTGACTTGAATCTCCTCACTTACTTACCGTATTGTCCTGACAATTTGATATTTGCACCATGGCCTTACCTGCAGATGTGGCTGATGCCATATTGCAATCGAACCAAGCTCTCGCAGAAACTCTTGCAGGGGCATTTCAGAATTTAAAGTACCAGCGAGTCAGCACAGTACGACTGGTGAAATTTTGTGGGCCTCCCACTAGAGCTGGGGATCAGACCATACATGAGTGGTTGGCCGATATCGGGACATATTGTAGGCAAGTTGGACTTGGAGATGGGGAAAATTGAGTACTGCCTTATATTACTTGGGCGGGATTGCAAAGGAAGAAGTGCTATGTACCCCTAACGAACAAAGGGATGATTTCAATAAGCTTACCGCGCTGCTGAAAAAAAAACCGGTTCGGTTCTCCAGAGTCCGTTCAATCCTTGACAAGAACCCTGTACGGCCGAATGCAGTTGCAAG